GCGTATCCGCTGTTGGGGAATTATACCACGGACTTATCCAAACTTTTTCTTCGCATCTTAGGAATCCGCCACAAGCTTATCCCGAGTTTTTTTGTTGAAGCATGAATGTTGCCGCATAGTGGCCCCAAGCTTATCTCCAGTTCACAAATTTGTGGCTACTTCTCCAGGGTTTTAGTAGGTTTTATGACCAGATTATCCCTCAAACATAAGTTCTGCGATCCAGGGTTTTGATAGCCTACATTTGACCTCCAAATTTTTGCCGGCTGCTTATCCAACAGTGTTGCCGGCTACTTATGTTTGGACATCATCAATTTGTGACCCTAAAGTGTTGGCATCCAAAGAGCATGTGTGTAGTTTCGTCAACGCCCGCCATCAGATGCAGGGGGGAAATCATGTCTGGCTTCCACAAGATTGGCTGAAGAAGTTTCCGACCGACCTCTTGGAATTTTCGGTGTAGCAACAGAAGAAGGGCAGATGGTCAAAACACGGCTCCCTATCACCTGAAAAGCAAAATGGCTTACAACAACCCAATTCGCAGCAACCCCTAGCTCTTGGGACAGAATTACGATTGCCTAGCTGAACATGAAGCTTGGCCATCAAGCCCGGGTAGCCCCGGCAGCCTCTTCCAACATCCAATGATTTTCCCATGGGTTTTGAATGTTTTCACGGGTCTAAGTGTTCTCCACACTTGTTTGCGCCCTCGGCTTCCCAGATGTTTTCAGGACAGCTGTCAGAGGCAGTGCTTGAAATGCTCGAGCACCTGAGAGCGCAGCACGTGAAACTGTTTTGTTTGCGGCCAGTTGTTGGAGATGAACACGCCGGTCCGTCTAGCCTCTCGTTCCTTTCAAACAAGTATTTCGTGCAAAGTGTTGTGCATGCAGCCACTTGCAGCTCAATGGTATTTCTTGGTGGAACAGTGGTCGCAACACCATGATTGCTGTGCTGCTGGCCGTCACGGCCATGTACAGCATCCAGGGTTGCATCTACGGTTTGAGCGACCGAACCTTACCGCACCTGCTGAATCGAAAGGAAAGCTCGCTGGGAGCCAGTGAGGTCCTTGCCATCGTCCATCTTCCGGCAGCTCTAAAGGTCTTCTTTGCTCCCCTCGTGGATTATGGTGCTCAAAACATCCCAGGTGGGAACCGGTTTCTGAGAGGGCCAGATCAGCGATGTTGGGGTCCATGTCCATGTGCGAAGTGCATGCTTTTGGCTCTCACCGTTGGTTGAAACACGAAAAAAAACTATCCTTTGAGGTTGATCTCTTTTTGCTCGCGCGCATTTTTCTATTCGAAGTCTCAGACATGATGAACAAAACACCATAATGGCCCATGGACATCATCCAACCGACCAATTGCCAGGTGGCTACAAGAATTTGATGATTGCGTTGCAAGGGCTCTTGGTGGCAGCCCTTTTGTTCCTCGTCCCTCTGCTGCCCGAAGCGGTGCAGTTGGGCGGTCGCCCGGGCGCTGAACAGCTGCGCTGGCCGTTGTTTGGGGTGGCCTTGCTGAACGCCGTTGGAGACTTGATTTTGGACGCCTTCGCCCTGAGGTGGGCCAAGTTTTCGGGGGGATTTGTTCAAGCTAGGTGAGTTCACAACTATTCACAACTTTGATAGATTTGAGATCCTGTAAAGATCTGTTCTTGAGGAAATGCGACGAAATTTCGCAGACTGAAAATGATGCAGCTCAGTATGCTCTAGCCGACAAGAATGGAGCAGGATTTGAATGACTTGAAAAAACCGCTGTACGAAACAATCCCCAAACAAGTATGCCAATGAAAGTGCAGCAAAACAAAAAATATGATTTGATTCCAGCACAACTGCAGGCAGGTGCCAGCGAACCTGCAACACCTTCCAGCAGTATGTCAGGTGATTGGAATCTTTGTTGGAATGACCGTTGCGAAATCAGGAGTGCCAACATCCACCTCGTTCAATTTTCTGTTGGTGTAGTATCTCTGGTCTAGTGTTTGTGAATGCTGTAACAGAAATTTGTGGAAGACAGTTGCAGGACTTTTCCTCTTGATGAAACTGGAGGTCTTTTCACTCGAAGGGTTACTGGCAGGCTTTGTGGGCTTTATGGCCGCCATTGCTATGCTGGCAGTGTTAGCAGTTGCTCTGGCAGGCAAGGCCAATAGGAACTTGGAAGCAGTTCACTTTCGCGACGTGGTGCAGGGCTTCTGGATCTTCACAACACATCGTCCGAACATGGCGCATTGGCTCTTGTATCAGTTCTTCATGCCTGCAGCCACTGGTCTCTGCATTTGTTAAGAAGGTTCCAACCCTGCAAACGGGATGAGCCAGCTGGTGGAAAACAGACTCATTTTTTTTTGTGCAGGTGGATGTCCAAACCTATCCTGATTTCAACGAACTTCGCAGACATCAAACAAGCACAGGATACTGGCATGGATGCTAGAAATACAGACAGACTTACTTACGAACACGTGGAAACAACGTAGGAGACAGCTACATGTTCCTTGTAGTCTTTTAAACGATTCTTCCACAGAAAATGCACAGAATGCATGTTTGATTGTGAAGATTCAGGATGATTTACCAGAATTTCAGCAGGTTTACCGAAGGCATGCTGCCGTGCTTTCTCACGTGAGGTCAACTTTCATCACACCGTGGTCCTTCCAAGTCGCTATGAGCAGTGGGGTTTCTCGGGTGAAGACTATGCTGCTTACGATTTGCCCTTGGCGTTGGTCACGCTGAGTGTCCTAGTGGCGGCCTGGAGTCTTTTTCATACATGTTCAAGGATCCTCCATCTCTGGCATCTAGTCTTTTGAACATAGTTCTCATCCACTTATAGCTCATCCAATTATACGCAGGTTATCTATGTTCTGCTGAGCAAGTTGCACGATCTCTTGTTCTTCGTTTGCGACATGTTGGAGTTTGCTTTCATGGGCCAAGTGGCAACTCTGGAGCCCAACCTGGTGGCCACGCTGGTCACCATGCAGGCGTCAGCTTTCAACTTTTCGGAACCTTGGTTTTTTTAATCAAAACATGTTGAGAATGCACAAATGCGAAAAGTGAAGCATCGAGAAACCATGACGGAAATTGTGTCCGACCAATGTGAAGAATCTCGAGAGTTACAGAAAGTAAATGTACGGAGGAGTTGCCATTCAAGGGTGTTCGCATTGAGAAAGCACTCCTAGAGTTGTGGGGTTTCAGACTTATGTGTTTCATGATGTTTCATACTTTCATAATCACCAATTGATGTTGGGCTGCTACCAGGAATTCTTCTACTCCTGGTTGGCCCCGACATTGGTCGATCGTTTGTCCTCGTGTTCCAGAGAACATGACAAGTTCTCTTGCGACTACGACGCATATCCGTTGGTCGGTGTTGGCCTGACCCTGGTCACTTTAGTCTTCCTGATCTCTCAATGGAAGCGAATCAGTACATATCAAGATGTGGCCTGCTGCGGATGTCAACACAAGGGCAAGCCCTTGTTTCGCCACAAATTGACTGTTGGAATGGTTTTGGGAGGAATTTCCCTCTTTACTTGGAAGGAAGTCATGCTCAAGCAGTGATCCTGCCGAATACGGAAAGCGGGCGGGACATCTCCAAAGCTCCAGTAACTTGGTTTTCTTCAGGGTCCAGCCTGATAGTTGCCTGTCGGGATGCTCCAACTTGAAGATTCAGATTGACTTGGAAAAAGTGCCAGAAACTCCACCAGCAAATAAACATGCAGACCCCAAGGTCTCTGCTTACGGAGACGCAATGACGGACCCTGCAGCTGCCAGTCAAATGCTCAGCCACCATTGAATTCGTTTCTGATTTTTCGGGCGAATTCCAAGTTTCGTCACGTAGCTTCAAACGCCAACAGGTCTGTCTAGCTAATAACGTGTCTTGTTGTCCAACAGTTTATACAACCTGACGGCAGGTGCTCCTGCCTTTGGCCGTCAGCTTGCAGCGTACCTGCTCAGTCGGAGAAAGACCTTGAGTTTATGAATGTTTCGGACCATTTCATGGTGTTTCAGTGGTGGATCTCCGCTGCTAGGACTCAGAAAGCCGCCCATGCCAACTTGGCGGGCATGGCTTCGACGCCCAGTTGGAGCCAAGGTGCAGCACATCGAGCTCCCTTTGTTAAAGGTTTTACAAATAGAGCCGTTCATTTCGGCGGCCAGAGTGGGCATCAGGCCACGAGATTGGCAGACTGGCTTTTTTCAAGCATGTTGTGAGCGATAGATAGCGATAGTGTGGACAATGCGTTAAGCAAATCCGAGTGAATCATTGAATTCAGGCATTTCATGAATATGCGTGCCCCACGTGGGCATGACAGTCACTGTTCAGCAGCTGGTTCGCAACTTTTCGCAACGATGGAATGGTACGCGTGTGCTTCAGAACCATGGCAACTAACGCTGCTCACACATGTGTTTCCATGCCCACGCTGTTTTTTCCACCAGCAGCAGAGAGCGCGCAGATACACCATCATTGAATACTGCCGTGCAAATCAGCCGAAACACAACATGACTTGGTAGGCCAACGTGGAACAAATTGAAAGCTGAGATTGAGTTGGGTTAGCTGACAGCGCCATGGCAACAGAGCTGAGATGGATTGCCGACGAACTTGCAGAGATCTCTCTCGATGGGGCCGGGAGCCAGCATCACACATTTTTTCGGGGCTTGTCGTGTCGTTTACCTTGTTGTTCAGATCACAGCAGTTTTGATATTGCATGCCCGCCGAGAGTTGCAACACCACCCTCCGTTTTCCAACCTCCGTTTCGCTTTTTGGTTTTCAGCTGTGGCATTGTGCCCTGCGTTGATGGATGGGGCACGTGCGGCCACACCTCCTGGTGTAAGGCCGGCCTCTCAGCCAACGTTTTTGTATTGCTGCAAAATGGCATGGGATATTTGCAAAATGGCATTGGCTGTCATGATTTTGCGCCAGGTCGCGTTATCATTTTAGCACCTTGGAGCCGCCTGTTTCACCAACTGAGAGGCAGCCTGCAACTTAGCAATGATTTTCTCGCATGGCACTTTCAGTAATGCGAGTTGGTGAAGTAGTTGGGCTTCGACGGTTTGAAGTCAGTCGTCGGCTTGTGCTGTTTGCCAGACACCCAGGTCATCACCCAGGTCAAGGGCGTCATCAGGGCAATTAGCGCCGCCAATCGCGGCACCCGACGAGTTGCCACCCGTGGCATGCCGCAAACCGTTTTGATTCATCGTGTCGACTCTTATATGGTATCTCCTGCTGGAGATTGGAACCACGCTTTGCGACGCCATTTCAACTGAAAATCACTTTGGGGGATTGGGGCGCGTGAGTACGCAGTGGCATGAGCAAACACTTCACCAAACTTGAGCTTTGGGCCTGATTAGTTTCTGTGTGGGCATGTATTGCGTTCATTTTTGTGTGGCTTGACAAGCCGGACTATGAAGCATACATCCACGGCACCCGCTGTAATCCGTACATAACCCCCGTATGCCCTGTAATTGATGGTTCCCTTGTCCTTCTGTTGCGTATTTGGCATTCTCTTTGCCCGCTTGAGTTTTTATTCTGAACATACCAGGTGCAGCGCCCCAGGGCGCGTTCGGCAAGCCCTGCCCCCTTGGGGGGTCTGGGAGAGGACGGCATGTAGCACGACAGGCCCGTACAAGTCACAGTCTACCCGCCGTTGCTTGCCGTCGTCCGGGCCAAAAAGGTAACGATTTAGGGACTCACCATTGTGGATAGTATTGCCACGCTGCATGTGTGGTTTCAATCGCCACGTGCTATGGAAGGAGTCGAGAGCGCGTTCACGAAGTCCCGTGCCACCTCCAGGTGTGGTCGTCACTTGGCAAAGACTCTTCCAACAACAGTTTTTGAATGGCAGCGGCAGCAAGAGCGATCCAACCATGCAGAACTTTTGCAAAACAAAAACTATTGCAACTGCCCCGCTGGCATGCTACGCAAGTGTGTGCAGCTCACCGTACGAACATGAGTTTGAGACATCTAGTAGAAGCTGCAGCACATTCAAGCAACCACGTCCATCAGAGTGCTGTAAATTGCGCACTGTCACAAGCTTTAGCATGTCTAAATCCTTGTGGGCTCAACTGTGTTGAGGATTCACCCTCCTCGGAACACAGTTCGGGCAAGGCCGGGATGTTGCAACAGTTGCAGGCGTTGTAGATGGGAGCGAGTGTTTGCCAGGGCAATCTAGGATGTGCAGCCATGTGATGGATGGAGCAGGACAAGAAGAAGAAAAAGAAAAAGAAGCGACGAGAGAGCGCCGACGCCGTGGCCAGCGAGGCCACTGGTTATTCCATGTGCAGTTGCCACGCACGCAGCGTGACGATGACCCTCCTATATGCCATGCAAGAATTGTCTGGGGTCTGATTGTTGAGGTAGCGGCCGAGTCTTCCCGTGGCTTGGTGTCCATGCCGTTTGGTAGCTGCAGACATGACATGCTTGACGTACCCGATGTACGCAGTTTGTGTGACATTCTATGATGAATCTCCGCTGTCCCGGCTGTGGCGGGCGGTTTGTTGTTCATGATGCCAAGGACCAATGCCGAGTCTTGAGTTGGGAACTCACACATCAGCCACTTTGGTATGCACAGACTGCTGCATGGCCTGAGTTCAATGTTGAAGGCTTAGATCAAACAGTTGTGTGCTAGCAGTCCCCCATATTCAAACCATTGGCGCCGCTAGAGGTTTTGCCTTGCCAAACAGTGCTTGCTTGCCAGCTTGCATGGTACCAAGCTCCCCACCAAACAGGAAGGGTCCACCTTTCAGGTCAACGCTTCAGAACATGAAGGTCATGCATGCAATCTCAATACTGTGAGGTATGATGTTATTGAGGCCTCTGTTTTGGACCAATTTGTAGGATGTCTTGCATTTTGGGTTGCCTGTGTGCGTGAAAGAATTCGTTGGCTTGCTGCAGAACTTTTGTCGAACAACTGATTCAAATGATCATCCAACACGCAAGTGACATGCCTTTCAGTCATGGAACCTTCGCTGGAGGAAGATGCCCCTCGACCTGTGTGCCGTTATGGGGATTCTTGCGCCTGGGACATCCCTTCCCTTGGAGCTGAGGTAGACTGCGCAGTTGACATTTTCAGACATCCAGTGAAGCTACATTGCAGTCAGCTTCGGCCACCCATATATTTAGACTGCTGGCCTGATGTACCCGCACGGTAGTGTTGTAGTGAGGATGCAGCATGTGCAGTGCTGTTGCTCTTCCTGCTTTGCTCCCATGTTCGGAGTCTAGGATCCAGCCGTTCCAGCCCGCTTGGAGCAAAGGCTATCGCAGGAATCCGGAACACCGGCGTCAGCAGCATGCCCAAGAATTTACTGGTTCAGGGCCTGGGCTCCAGGTGGACTCACGAAGAAGATGGATTTGACAGACGATTGGGTCCGGGCGTTAGGGCTTTTGCTTCGAAAATGGGGAGTGTCGGCGAGCTCAGAAAGGATCAGGCAGCGATTCTTTTCCAGACCAACAGAAGTCTCTTAGACCTAGTCCTGCCATGACCATTTCACGGTGTGAGGTTGGGCGTCCATGCCTAAACCCTAAACCGATGGTGATGTTCGTTCTTGGGTTCCGTCGGTGTTGGGATTCAGAAGGAAAGTCGCCTTATGCTTTGGAGGTCCATCGTCTATGATTGATAGCCCGCAACCCCAAACGCGTATCTCTTATACGATCAGTCCCTAAAGCCTCAAAGCTTTACCCTAAGGGTCCA